ATCTCTAAATCTATAGCATTCTTAGGACCATTATTATAAGAAAAACAGTAATGGAATAGCCAGAATTAATTCATCTTTACATTTCCCAGAGTAGATTTATGATTTAAGGTACACATTTGGTAAAGTTGCAATTGTCTTCAAAATCACACTATCCACACCTTTTTTCCTGAATAAAGTCACCTAAGAAATTTAGCAATTCTCCTAGGCCCTAGGCTAGAGAGTCTTAGAGAATTCATCAGCAATGACTTCTGTCCAGAGAATGGTCTTGTGTGAAGAAAAATATCTGTACTGAATTCTTGCTACTAATGAAAAAAATTATATGCATGAAGATTTCACTGAAATTAGTACATAAAAGCAAAAGAAAATTTCTAAATATCCAAATGTATTTAAAGAACTAAGTAAATGATAGTGCATGTGAAGTGAGCATGATTTATGCCTCAGGTAGAATTAAAGTTCATCTTATTTATTAGAGCTTTGGAGAAATTTGTGGAAAGGAGTCTTCTGTATAAAGAAATTCCTTGATATCAATAAAAATAATGCTTAACCAACATTGAACTATTCATGGCACTCCAGATACATTTTAAGCACTTATTTAATCCTCACAGTAATGATATGAAATACAAGTAGGAATTGCTTTATAGATGGGAAAACCATGGCCCATGGAGGTTGAGTAACTTGCTACAGGATACCTACCTAGTCAGTGGCACAGCCTGAATTCGAATGTTGAGAGTCTAGGCACAGAAACTGCACTCTGCTGTATGCAAGTTTCTCACAGATTTTGGTCAAGATCTATGCCTCATAGGGTTTCTCTCTCTTATCTAAAAAATTGTGCTTATGTATTTTGGGATTTTTAGACCCTTAAAAAAACATACAGCAATAATGACAATAATATAGAACTAAACAGAAATTTATTTTCTTTTTGCATATTTCTTTCCAGGTCCAGATACATGGATAGTTATTCTAAGTTATAATCATAGTATTGATATACTTTTTTCTCCCTACTTTTTATACTTCTATTAATATTTCAAATGATTTCATTTTGCTACATTGTCTTCATAATCATTGTTTGTGATAGTTGTAAAATGCTCTAATAAGCTGCTAGTCCTAATTTATTGGGACAGTCCACTGTCAGTTTCCTCTTTTGTGTAATATTGCAAATTGCATGGCAGTGAACATCCCATACCTTATTTCTTTTCCTTCTTCTGGGATATTCCTTAAAGATAAATCCTGGAGTGAGATTACTGAACAAAGGATAAGAATGTTTTTGTTTCTTGCAAAAGTAAAGCCACACTACTTTTCAAATGGCTATGGTCTGTCACAGTGACATATCACAAGCATACTTGCATTTTGATGATAAAAACCCTTTGCAGTTGTGTCCCACTTTCTTAAGTTACTTGTATTTAATAGCTGACAGTTCTTGCTATTAGGTAATATCTTTTATTCATTATGTTTAGAAGTATATTGCTAAAAAAAAAAAAAGCACAAGTTGAATTATAAATGACCTCTCTTTGTCTTACACAAAAGATTTATTTTGAAGCTGTTATTACACAGACGAAATTTTGTTTAACAAGGGTGCCAGTTGTGACTATTTAGCTAAAGGTATGAATAATTTCTGCAATTCTTGGCAGGTTGTAGTTAGAAAATTTTATACCTCTGTGCCATAGTAAATACATACCAGTAGGTGTCAAAGCAGTGAATTTTCTTGCTCCATAATTGTGAAAGTTCATTATTATCATAAGGAAATCTCAGAAGAAGGGTTGGAATTGAATACCATTTTGTACAACTCATGTACAGTTTGTTGAGTAAGCATAAGAAAACCAAAGCAGTGAAATCACTCCATTTCTTTTTTGTTGTTGTTGTTTATTTAGCAGAAGCAATAGAATGATAGTTTATTAGAAGATGATAGGAAAGCTTCCAACACAACAGAAGGGTCCCCACCAGTTGCCCCACTCCATTTCTTAATCAGCAGTAGATGTTGTTCAAGAAACCCCAAGTCATTTTCTTTGTGGATTTGTAGTTTTGCAAGATGACAATTAATGGTAGCAACTCCCTGTCTCAGTGCAGATCAAGTGAAACAAATCTTGGGCTCATACTCATTTATTCATTAGACTTATATTTGTTGAACCTCTTCACTCTGGTGATGGCTGACTATGTAAGACAGGCACAGCCCTGCCCTCCTGGAACTTTTAGCCCAGCTGGGGACAGTCAGAGAAAAACAAAGCTGGACATTAGTTAAGCTCCTATTCAGCACTACTGTGGGAAGCAAGAGCCCTCCACATAGACTGAGCCTAACTCCCCTGAGACAGAAGGTGGGAGACCCCTAAAATTGGTGTTTGCTAAAGAGGAGATGGGGGGTGGTCTATGAGCTTAGGCCATCTGGGTTGGTTTGCTAACTTGCATTTCCCTGGAGAAACACACTTCTCCTATCCTTGGGACAGAAAGTAGCTTTGCAAGTTGGAGCAAGCTGCCCTCAAAGTTAGGCTCTTATCCTCCCACAGGAAGTGAGAGACAGGAGAGCAATCTTCTTGGATATTTGCCCCCAGGTCCTTGAGGGGACATTTCTGGGTGTTGGTGGATTTATGTCTCAAAGGGGCAGGAACGGGTTTATAATTTCAAACTTTCAAAAGTAAAAGTGAGCTTAGATGCAAATCCTCAGGTGTCAGCTAGAACAAATAATAAATTCTTTTGGCAGCACTGAGTTTTCTCAGGCAGACATTTTAAGGGGGCTGGAGCTGTCATCCTGGGAACAGCTGCCTTGAGCTGATAGAAATGATGCTAGTGTTTGTTCAGGCCCTTTTCCATGTGGATAGGGGTGGGTGGATGAACTCATTTGTGGTACAAGTTGAAGTTCTCCTAGGCCAATGCCAAGGCCTACTTGAAAAGAGAGTTCAGAGGGCCTTGACTAGAGATGGTCAAGGAGAGAGTCTCTGTCAGGATGCAGGCAGTTGAATCAAGGCTCACTGTGTCACCAGGCATGCTGTGCAGGTTGCACACTGCACAACTCCAGGGCTGGCATTTACTTCCCAGGCTGTGTGAATGAATGCCCCTAAGTTGTGCAGTGCACAGCAGTCCTGGGACCACAACTGCTTCACAGCTGGTAGAAAAATTTCCATCTGGTTCTCCTTCATTCCATCTCAGTCAGTGGGCAAGGGGCCTTCTTCACTATCCCCACCCAAGATATATAAGCCCCTCATTCTTATTTCAGGGCAGAGGTGTGGGGACTGTTCCAGATTGATGGATTGTTTGGGGGTCCACAGTTCAAGGAAAAGGGGGTGTGGGATCAGCCTTTTTGGTCCTCCAGCCTTGTTTTCCCTCCACATCCAGGATGCCTTTCCTCCCCACAGCCCCTTCCGCTCCCTGGAGACTAAGAAACTCATTTTGCAGAGGCTGTGAGCCTTCTATCTTTATTTTATTATTATTATTATTTTTATCAAATCATAGCTGTGTGCATTAATGCAGTCATGGGGTACAGTGTGCTGGTTTGACGGGACCCTTTTATCTTTAATTCCTCTTGGCAGTGGGCTGGGGGAGGAGGGAACCCATCCTTTGGAACCGAGAGCAAGTTAAAGACAACAGGAAACACAGGAATCAATACTTTGAGATAACCCCCTGCCATGCACACCTGCAAGGAAACATCTTTAGGCTCTGCCCATTAAGTGCAGACACCAAGACTCGCCAGCTGGCCGCAGGAGGTAGAGCACCTTCCAGGAAGCTTCAACATTTCTGTAAATCAAGAGGTCAGGTAGTGAGAGGAAAGGAGAGGAAATGGAGTGCCAAGGGGAGGATTAGCAAAAAAAAAAAAATTAAGAAGGAGGCCCACCATGCTTTTTTGTCTTTTATTTTTTCCCTCTTTGCTCTCTCTTGGATCGACCACATTTCCTTTGCAGCTTTCTCTCTCCCTTACCGGCTTGGAAAGTAACGTGTTCTTTTTGATTCTTTTAGTGGTTAGCTTTCAGTTTTTAAGAGGCATAATTAACTTTACAAAGCCTGAAGTTAATTAATCTCTGGGTTGCCCTCTATCACCACAGAAGCCTTACAATGGCTCGCTCCCCCTCCACTTTCCATACTTGCGGCTGCTTTTCTTTCTTTCTTTTTATAAACTTCCAAGTCTGGTCATTTATCATTATTTTCACCGTCAGTTCATATTTAGATGAATCAAAACGTTTGCCAGTTTCTTCACTTCATATGGCTTCTTAAACACAACTCACTTCTAAATTCAATATCCTTTGTGCTAAAATAACCCTTAAGCTACTTAGAGGGGAAAACTCTCTGGGCCTTTGTTAAATTTGCGCTAACCCTCACTCTTAAATTACAGACTTGCTAAGTGCCGTAGATGCTCCAGAGTTCACCACCTTCTTAAATTGACCTAATTTTCACAGATGGGACATGTACCACATGTATGTATCTGTACAGTAGGCCCAGTCCCTTATGTTGACCCCCTCCCAATGTCTCCCCATTTGCTCCACCTTGGGCGGTCAACTTAGAAATGTTGTAGGCTAGCTGTTAAATTTTTCCCTTGGCACTTTAAATATATTATTACACTGTTTTCTAAAGTCCTTTGCTGCTTTGTAAAAACGTGTTTTTTCCTAATTGCCATTACTTTATTTTGCTTTTTAAAATAGATAATAACTGTACAAATTCAGGGAGCACATAGTGGTGTTTCCATACACAACACGTATAGTGGTCAGGGTAATTCACATATCCCTCTCTGGGTTGGGAACATTCACTATCCTCCTTCCAGCTACTGGAAACTGTGCTATTAATTATAGTTACCCTGCAGTGGTATAGAACACTAGAACCTACTCCTCCTGTCTAGCTGTAATTGTATAGCCTTTAACAAATCTCTCTGGGTCCCTCCCTGCCTTTTACCCATCCTCTCTCCTCCTGTATCCTCTGTCCTACTTTTCCCTTCTATGAGAGCATCTCTTTTTAGCTTTCACATATGAGAAGAACATGCAGTGTTTAACTTTCTGTTCCTGACTCTAAAAAAAAAAAAAAAAAAGAACATGGAAAGTTTCACGAATTTGTGTGTCATCCTTATGCACGGGCCATGTTTATCCTCTCTTGTATCATTCTAACTTTAGTATATGTGCTGCCAAAGGGATACTCTTTCCTTACCTTTTGTTTATTAAGGTAGATGTCTTTTGGCCTGTGTGGTGGCTCACACTTATAATCCTAGTACTCTGGGAGATCAAGACAGGCAGATTGGTTGAGCTCAGGGGTTCAAGATCAGCCTGACGGAGAGTGAGACCCTATTTCTACTAAAAATAGAAAAAACTACCCAGGCATACTAGCAGGCACCTATAGTCCCAGCTACTAGGGAGGCTGAGGCATGGGAATCACTTGAGCCCAAGAGTTTGAGGTTGCTGTGAGCTGTGATGCCACAGCTGTGTCTACCCAGGGTGATAGAGTCAGATTCTGTCTCAAAAAAAGAAAAAAAGTAGATGTCTTTTTATATTCTGCAGATTCACTATGCTGTATCTATGTGTGGGTTTATTTAATTTATTCTGATCGGGACTTGCTGTGCTCCCTCAATTTTAGGAACTATGTTTTCTTCACATCTGTAACTTTTCTATCATCTTCCTTTCCAACAGCCCCTCTCCCATTTTCTAAGTTTCTGTCTGGCACTACTGTTAATATGTGGTGGACCTTTTCCTTCTTCTTCCACATTACTGAAGCCTTCCTATTTTCTACATCTTTACCTCTCAATGCTACACTCTGAGTGATTGTCTCTTCTCTTCCTTCCAATAGGCTTTATTCTCTGAAGTTTGCTCTTTCAACCCATTCTGAGTTCCCTATTCAATGACTAGATAGGTCATATATAGAATTCCTTTGATTCTTTTGCAAATCAACTTGTTCTTTCTCCCAAGGTCCTGATATTATCTTATGGTTTCTATTTCTTACTTATCTCTTTGAGCAATTTAATAATATTAATTTACTTTTTTCTTTTTCTTTTTTTGTTTTCCAGGATAATTCATGATATGAAAAGGGACATTCTTATTTGAAAGGTTCTGTCAGGCTGTTTTATTATTTTGAGTTCTTGGGGTTCAGAGTCTCCCATTGTTTTGCCTGCTGACTTTCCTGGTGGAGTCTCTTCCTGAGAGTCCCATGGGTCTGAACATGGCAGTATTCCAAAGGGATAGTTCCTATTCACCTCTTCAGGGCCTTCTGGGATTTACTCATCCAGGGAAATTTTGTTGTCAAGTTTTGTTTGGGAGGGGCAACTGTGCATGTCTCTTTACTAGTATGAATTCTGGTTCCACATCCATTGGTGGTTTATTTAGGTCTGGGGGACGCCTCCATTTGGCAATTCTTATTGTTCTTGACCTCTTTGGAGCCCTGGGCTGTTGGGCAGCACTGTCTCTTTTCTACTTAAGGTCTTGTTGTGCCCAGATGTCGTAATTCCCAAAGACCACCCTGGAGCCGATACCAATGCAACAAACAAAAGAGCCATTTATTCAAGTTCAAGTTCGAGCTCAGACCCTCAGATCAGCCCTCCGCAGTAGGCGAGTATTGAGGGCCCCGAGTCTCTGGATGTGAGGGTTTTTATTGGTTACAGTAGGTTTTTATTGGTTACAGAAGGGTTGCAACAGGCAACCCTTCTGATTGATTGGGTAATTAACTGACCTAGTTTTTGATTGGCTTTTTATCAGGGGCAGTTATCTGCTTTTTTTTTCTGTAACAGAAAAACTAGCCTGTCTTCTCATTCCCCCCTTGTCTTGTGACCAAGAGGACCCAATCATGGGTCCTGAGCAGTGGTTCCCAGATCTATGATATCTGCTATGGGTCTATACTGTGATCTTAGAACCATGAGTTGCACCGCTCCCACTCGCTCTTTGATAAAAATGAGGAGCCTATTGATGACATAGGGCCCAATGGTTAACAGTAATAGCAGTATGAGTATGGGTCTGGCAAGGGTAGATACCAGAGTTATCAACTAGGGGGACCAATTAAGGAATTCTTGAAGATGAGAGATAGATTTTTCCATTCTCTCTATGTCCAAGTCTATGTCGGACCTCAGGGCTCCATAAGCGGTGTCTCTGTCCCATTCAATTTTCCATTGTGGGATAAAGTTCTCTCTGATGACAATGGGATCTGCTAGCCTGGCGTGGGTATAGTGGGATAAAGTTCTCTCTGATGGCAATGGGATCTGCTAGCCTGGCGTGGGTATAGTGGGATAAAGTTCTCTCTGATGGCAATGGGATCTGCTAGCCTGGTGTGGGTATAGTGGGATAAAGTTCTCTCTGATGGCAATGGGATCTGCTAGCCTGGCGTGGGTATAGTGAATCAGGAGGTAATGCCATTGACCTTAAGGCCGGTGGTCATTGTCAGGACAACGACGTAAGATCCTTTCCACCGGGGTTTGAGTGTTTCCTGTCAGCATCTCTTGATGTACACCCAGTCACCTGGTGAAAGTTGTGCGGCTCTGGCGTAGGTTTGGCCTCGTAAATGGCTTTAAGGTGTGGCCAAACACCTGAGTGGCCCCACTGGAGACTTTGTAAAGAAAAGAGCAGGTTATAATCTTCAAATTCTGCTAGTAACTGGGATTTCAAGTTAGGGGTGATAGGGGAGGGTCTACCGAACATAATTTCAAAGGATGTGAGTCCTAACACATAGGGGGAATTCCTGACCCTATAAAGGGCATAGGGAAGGAGAGTCACCCAGTCCCTGTCAGTCTCTTGGGTTAATTTAGTCAAGGTCTCTTTTAGAGTTTTGTTCATTCTCTCTACTTGCCCTAAACTTTGAGGCTGGTATGCACAATATAGTTTCCAATTTGCCTCCATTGCTGTTGCTACCGCTTGGGTTACCTCAGAAATAAAGGCTGGTTCATTGTCAGAGCCTAATTGGATGGGGAATCCATACCTGGGCAGAAGATCTTCCAGAATCTTTTTGGCTACTACCTGCCCTGTCTCATGTTTGGTAGGCAAAGCTTCTACCCATCCTGAAAAAGTATCTATAAAGACTAAAAGATATTTATATCCATACTTTCCGGGTTTGACTTCAGTGAAGTCAACTTCCCAATAAGTATGTGGTTTGTTACCCCATAACCGGGAACCCTGGCTGTTGGAGACTGATCTTGCATTGGTTAGTTGGCATGCTTTGCATGCTGTCACTATCTGACCCACTTTGGCATCTAATTATTCTATTTTGATATTGGCATGGCAGACGAGATCTTTCATTTTCCTGGTGCCTATGTGGGTGGTGTGATGTATGCGTTGCAACACTTGCAGTCCCAGTTCTGCAGGCAATAAAACTTTACCGTCACAAGTGAGCCACCAACCGTCACAGCATTTAGTCATGGGTATTTTCTGCATCCATGCTAAGTCTTGTTTTGTGTAATTTGAGTGTTCAGGTAATTCTGGGGGACCAGGATCTGGAAACTGCAGGGCTAATATCAGATCTACTTCCAGAGCAACTCTCTTGGCTTCCTGATCCACCCAGTGGTTCCCTCTTGCTATGGGGGTGGCAAGTTTCTGGTGTCCTGGACAATGAATAATGGATACCTATGTCAGTAACCATATGGCAGTTAGTAGGTCTAAAATCTCCTGCTTATTTTTCACAATTTTTTCTTCAGCAGTTAACAGGCCCCTTTCCTGATAGATGGTGCCATGTTTGTGGGCTGTGGCAAAGGCATAGCGACTATCTATGTCGATATTAATTTTTCTTTCTTTGCCCAGGGTTAATGCCATGGTTAGACCTATAAGTTCGGCCTTCTGAGCTGAGGTCCCTGCCAGGAGGGCTTCTGCCCAGAGAGTCTCAGTTTCTGAGACTACTGCCACCCCCGCGTACCTCTGGCCATCTTGTATGAAGCTGCTCCCATCCGTGTACTAGGTTTCTTCAGCACCTGGCAGTGGTTGATTGGTCAGGTTCTGGTGGAGACCGTGGACCTGTGTTAGAATGTCTGGAGGGGGATGTCTGCTTCTGGCTTAGGCAGCAGAGTGGGGGGGTTCAGGGTAACTCTGGGTAGGAATCAGATTCATGGTGGGTTCAGTAACAGGCTCTGATAGTGTGTCATCCATGCATTGCTCATCCACCAATCGGGGGGTTGTTTCAGTACCCCTCCAATGGTGTGAAGGGTGGTTATCAGTAGTTCTTGCCCTAGGGTCAGTTTGTCCACATCTCGGACCAACAGAGCAGTGATGGCTATGATGCGCAAACAAGGAGGCCAGCCTGCTGCTACTGGGTCAGTTTTTTTGATAGATAAGCCAATGGCTGGTTCCATGGACCCAAGGTTTGGGTCAGAACACCCTTAGCCACCCCCTTGCATTCATCCATATAAAGGTGGAAGGGCTTGGTGATGTCAGGGAGACCAAGCTCCAGAGAGGTCAGGAGGGTGGTTTTTAACTTCTGAAAGGCCCATTCCATATCCTCAGTCCAGTTAAAAGGCTGCCCTCCTTTGCTTGCTTCATGCAAGGGTTTGGCTATCTCTGCAAATCCAGGGACCCAAAGTCTACAAAACCCAACTCACCCTAGGAACTCCCAGACTTGTCTTGGTGAAGCGAGAATGGGGATCCTTAGGACTGTTTCTTTTCTGGCTTCAGAGAGCCATCTCTGTCCATCTTTTAGAATATAGCCTAGGTAACTTATGGATTGTCAGCAGATCTGCGCCTTCTTGGCAGATGCTCTGTATCCTAGGTCCCCCAGGGTCATGAGTAAGTCTCGCATTCCCTGCATGCAGGTTGATTCGTCGTCTATGGCTATTAAGATGTCATCCACATACTGAAGGAGGGTGAGGTTAGGATGGTGTTTACAATATTCACCAAGGTCTTCATGCAATTCTTCATCAAAGATAGTGGGGGAATTTTTGAATCCCTGAGGCAGTCTAGTCCAGGTCAATTGATGCCTTTTTCTGGATCATTCCACTCGAATGCAAACAGGTTTTGACTTTGTGGTGCCAGTGACAGACTGAAAAAGGCGTCCTTCAAATCCAATACAGTATACCATGTCAGGGTGGTGGGTAGGGAGCTTATGGAAGGCTATATATCCATTACCCATCTGTTGACTTCTTTCAAGTCCTACACCGGTGGGTAATCATTGGTGAGGGGTTTCTTGACTGGGAGCAAGGGGGTGCTCCAAGGAGATTGGCATGGGACCAAAATTCTTACC